TTCAGATACAGTCCTCGTGTATGGCTGGAGCTTGTTAATGTGTGGAAGTCGTGATACTGCTGGATAGTGCCAAAAGCGGTGTAAAACAATACTCACTTATATGTGAGATATATATTACGATTAAACCCGCATCGTGATCCTCGTCCTCTTGATAAATAATACTTTAGTGCACACACACACGTTTCTCCTATGTTTACACTGATGTTTCTACACCTGGTACTGTAGTTCACTTGAGTATATAATGCGAAATATATGGAAAGATTAACGCCATCATCCCCCTAATCTAAGAACATTTAGGATAAGAGAATAGTCACTTCATGTCGAAATATATAGCCTGGGTTAAGTATGTGTGAAAAGTCGACCTGAATACGAGAAGAGAACGCCGTACTTCCACCCCATCCCTTTCATCCGCGGTGATTTAAAGCTTCCGCCATTTACACGTTCCATTGAAGATCAATTTGTCCACTATGTAATTCGCCCAGCGTTTAAAGCGATAGGGAGTATGCGGTCATTATAGCAGGCGCTGATGAAAGGGGGTACAAGGACACTTAATAAGGGACAAAGGGGATCAGCGTGTGAAGGGGGCGTTGGCAGGGGTATGCTTTAGTACCCCTGCCTTTGTCTTAGTCAATGTGTCGAAGCATAGATCACATTCGTGTGTTAAATTCGAGCTTCGCCGAAATTCAACCCCACCCTTATCTCTCCTAAATATCCTTTTCTTGCCACATGGTGTGAAAGAACAAGCGATTATTGTTTCCTTCTATGATATTCGCACTGAGATAGCCTCGTTGGAACCAAGATAGGCCTATTCCCATGAGACCCTCCGCGAGTCAGATTTACGTATCTCTCCGCGCGGAGGGCAGCAGTAATGGGACGGCAAACAGCGTTACGCGCACTATCTTTGGCCGTATCACCGAGGTATCGCTCCGCGATTCCATCAAGACTACGTACCAATGGTGTTATACGCCAAAACTCTCAAATTTATGATTTTTAACTTGGATGACCTTGGTCGATTCACATGAGACGACATGAAAGCCTGGCGTGGACTATCGCCGGCATTTGTTTACAGTGTGAGATAAACCGTAGTTACTGGTGGACCCTGCAACAAGGCTTAGGGATATCTTGCCTATCTCCTATCTGCCTTTCCCCCCAATTTAACTTGAGACGGTTATTTATATCTTATTTTCCACAATTGCGCACTGTGTCTATACTCTCCGCTACGTTTTCACGAGTGGACAGTTATCGAGTTTTGAGTGTGGGAATCGTCGCCTCCACAGTCTTTGCTTCGACTGCTCTGTCATCATGTAGTATGTTTAATTCCCCCCAAACAGTGACATGTTTATGCCCCACTTCGCCAACATCTCGCCCCATGACTAGACGCAGCGACATCTCAGTTTTTTCATTGACATATAGTTTCTAAAATAGCCCATGTTTAGTGCCATTCTTCGTCACTCCTTTTAATATCAAGTGTGCTAACTTTTCACAACCTTTATCGTTCTATCATTCTCACGTTAAAGAAACAGGTTCATAGCCTTCATCGCGAAATTCAGAATCTATAACCTGTACCATGTGTCCCCTTGTTTGTTCTGAATACTTGACTTGCATGTGTTTGTGACAGGTGCCGCCGGTGGGGCAGGATGCGCTTACCTCTTCGTGAACACCTGGTATCATCTACTGGATAGTGATTCATAAACACATACTTATGATGTCGTCGGAATCGTATGGATGATCGTATTTCATCCATTATTCGTTCAAGATAAACCGACAAAACATACCCCTTATCACAGAAACTAAGAAACTAAGAAACTATTAACCTTCCTGTGAGAAAACCACTCTATCAATTCAAGATAACATGCACATCTTAACCTTACGAAATTAAGCAACAATATGAAGCCAAATGTGTGTTGACAATACGCTATCTACAAAATGTCCATTTGTACAATATTAAAGATATACATCACGCTGCCTTAACAGTAAACCCGATGATCTTTTACAGTCTGATCCAGACAAGGGTCTGCATCCTCTCTGGAACCCAGAGATCCTTGCAGAGTTAATGGCACCATTATCCTGCCACGGTATCGGCCGAAAAGACAAATTATCGTAATGGTGGCTTCCTTCCCGTATCTTTAGGATTGTTGTCAGAGATTCATTTAATCTCTCAGCGTGTTTAGAGGGAGAGTCGGGGCGAGGACAGATTGATGATGACGGGGAGTTTACACTAATCTGCTGCCATACGTCCGTAAATTAAGAATACTTGACCTAATCGAAAGAAGAACACACCACAAGTGAAAGTAGCGCGATTTTTGTTCCCTAATTGACGACCTTATCGAACCATTGGTGATTAATAGTTGCAATTAACAGCACTCATGAAACTAGGGCCTACTGGTGCGTGCCATACCGTTAACTCAAGACTGTTAGCTCGCCTCACACAAAACGTTTGACAGTAATTAACGCAAATAAAGTCTCTGTCCTGTTTTCCAGATCGTTTTTCAAAGTCTATTGGCCAACGACGAGCCACGATCCCTCGTCTGCTCACATCCAGGCGGCCATTAGGGCCGAACGTGCGGATTCCGAATTTGCGCGTCCGCGAAACGGAGTCTATGTGTATGGCATCTCGTGTGCGTCCCTAAAGGAAATGGTTGTCATACACATCGCTCGTACCATAAATAGGACCAAATTTTGCCCATTTCCTTTGATTCGAAAAACATATCGCCTTTCCTCTTCATACATCACGCCTGGGGCGATGAAATTAAACAATCTTGCTAGAATGCTCAAACACAGGCCGCCACCGCTCGCTGGAAAGGAAGTCTTGGAATTGGAAATCAACTCAAGCGCTTTTGATTCTGCGTTGTTCGGTAATCAAGCCGAGATCAGACCATGAAGAGCCTCCACTACAGCATTCCCACCTCCTACTATACATTGTATTGTAGTTTGATTCTTATTACGTGTTAAATCAGTGTTATCCACATACTCAAACATCATTGTGATCCACATACTCAAACATCATTGTGATCCACATACTCAAACATCATTGTAACCCATGGACTCAAACATCATTGTACGCAATTGAATTGATATTTCTTCTATGAATTGTAACCATGTTCCTCGAATAAGTTTCAATTTAGATTAAAAATATTTTCCCCAAACACTCCAGATGATATTATGGACCACTTAACAAATAATTAATAATTACAACCATGATATTCCGGGTTTGGCAACTATGCTAGAACACCAGACATACACAGGCAGGTATAAAAAGTTCTATTTAACAAAGAAAATGCTATGATATAAAGCTATGTCTTGCACTAGCCCACCCAAATAGCAAGACGTAAATATGAAACTTAAAAATGTATGGAGTCTAAAACACTAGTATCTAACTTCTTTCAGGACTTTGCCTTGCCATAACTTGCCACAGAGTTGTTTTCTTTGATCTCATTTTACATGCATTAGACATACATTCTATTGTACAACCGAGGAGGGCTCCTTCACTTGAACTCGCATGGAGACACTTTGATATCCCCTAGCAGACTACACAATGTCGGTATATGCCTGCCATCCCTACAGGCATTGTAACGGGAAATAAACAAGCCAAGGGAGACAATAAAACCTATCTTACAGCAGAATCACCGTCATAAAATTTGATGTAATTTCCGCGCTGATTTCTCCGTGAACAAGACTTGTACGCGTGTCTTTGTACGAAAACAAAGCCCAGTGTAGGTTATGCTAAAGAACCTCGGCTCTAGCAATCTACCAACTATACCACCCAGAGGGCAACTCATATTAAAAGCCCCGAGAGGTCCAAAAAGAAACGGAACATTTGGAAAGAATTCTTTCCTTCGACGACATAAGTTTACATCAAACAGAGTTTATATTTAGGGTTAATGAGTTCGGCCGGTTTTTAGCAGAATGACCGTTTTCTTAATTCGTATCGTCTCCGCGAGGAGGTGAAATCGCGTTAGAGACGGCTTTTACGACAGTGTAGGATGTAGCTCAACAGCAAACCGAGTGTGGGGGAAACCTGACACCCTGAAATGAAACAACGTGTACGCTTCGCGGTACTGTTTCTGCTAATCTCGGAATATTCACAAACATTTATGCAGCGGGCCGCGACCTTAGGAAAAAATGATTACAAGGTTACAATATGACGCGATACTCTCCCCTTTCTCACTCTCGAAGAAAGAAGGTTGAAAAGACTGGCGTAGCTTCTACCATAAAATTCAAAAAGGAGTGTAAGCTTTTGTTGAACACTCTCGCGTGAAAGATTTGAAAGAGGCGCTGGGCTCTTCACCTTAAAAGTCTCAACAGAGGTGTGAGTTCTCGAGCGTCAAGAGGTTATAAAGAGAATCTGTATGTCTATACATCTGGTTTATCATTCTTACATCCAAGCCCTTCAGTAGGACAATACTTGGAGCGAAATGGAAATGGGATTACAAATTATAAGGTATTATCGTGATAAAAGAGACAGTGCGCACACATACATGTAGCAAGCAAGGATTGAGCGTACAATCACTCGAAATGCGTGATACCCTTCAACCCACAAAAGCAATAGAAAGTCCGACAATGCACTTGAAAAGTGACATTATTAAAAGCACTAAAGGAAACTGCGGATTGGCCTGTGATAGACTCAAGCCTTTCGCATAGTGACGACACTTCCAACACAAATACTGGTCAAAGAAATTTGGCTACAGGGTTTACTATTTGGAACAGCTTTGATTTTTTTCTTATCAAAATAACCAGTGTATCTTCGTATAGAAACGAGTCCCGTGAACCAAGGCGTGACGAGATGTGACATCTAAGCATGTCCCCCAGGATGGCACAGAAGGTCGTTTCTTGCCCCCAACCCCGGGGCCACTACGGTAGACCGAGACACCCTCAATTCAGCTGACACTCGCGACAATAGCGCTGACAATGCCAAGCCCGTCACCCCCGAATTGAGCGACTCGAGGCCTTTCTGGAATACAAAGATCGTAGTCAGAGATTAATGCAAGACCTACTCTTACCTGAATCACCCTCATGTTGAGCCCTGTCTCTTGAGCAAGCTGTTCACGTATATGCCGGGTAGGTTTTGGGGTGGCAGCGAATGCTGCTTTAAGAGTCTCCAACTGCTTGGCCTTAATGGTGGTTCTTGGGCCCCGTCTTTTTGCCCCAACCTGTGTGTTTCCGCCACCGCCATTTCCGGAGCCGGTCGACCCCCCGAGCCCCCCACTCCCCTGGGTACCGCTCTGAGGACTTCCGCTTCCGGTACTTTCGTTACATTTAATATTACCACTGGATGTGTCTAGTCCAAGATTCGAACCCACAGACGCATTGGAGTCCACAGATGCTGGACTAGCGTCCAGAGGACAGCTGTCGGGCCGTAGAGGTTCCTCCTTAATAGGCGCTGGGCTATTAAGCGTCGGAGACAACACGGGGTTGGACCCGATGCTGCTGCTGTTGTTATTGTTCATGAAGTTAGTGTTGTTATTATTCCCAATACCCGACATGATATTTTCTTTCTCTTCTTTGCTATTATCGGTTTCTAGAGCGAAGTCTTTGTCGGAGATGTTGCCCTGTGTGTCGATGCCGCTGTCAGGGTCGCCCTCGTCCTCGCCGTCTGAACCTGAAACAACAGAAGGAATTGTTAATCTGAACCTCTTCAACACCAACAGCAACAGCAACACCAACAGTATGATATTTCACGTTAGCACAACAGTAGTTTCCTAATGCTGTGCCCCAAACAGCAACTACTCTACACCCACCGAAGTGAATGTTATTAATAATATTTATTATCAGTAATACCTCTAGCCTCTGCCTAAAGATCTGAATATAATATTCTTTAATATTCAGCTTCCCCAAATTAATGCAATTCCAAAATTCCCGACGAATGATAATTCTGTTCTGAACAAACCGCAAATTCCATCACACTTTAAAAAACACATCATAACGTTAACCTGTTTTTATTTGTTCATATTGATTTATTTATATGCTGGAGTGTATTGAAATATATAAAATCACACAAGCATAGCCTTTTATTAAACACTTTATTTAATAACTCTAACAGCGCCTTCAAATCTCATTTGGCATTAATAAATACACACGACCGTTAATCAGCAGTACATCTGACTATGTGTCTAAACAGTGTCGCTGTATTTGAAAAAAACCCAGCGTATATTAAATACGTATCGCCATCTTCATCCTTCCAAGCTGAAACATCGCAGTCCAAACATTTAAGGAATGCATACTACTTGACAAGAGACGTGTCATATATTTAATATTAAATCACAGCTTTATAGAAATTAAAATGGGCCAGCGCACACGACGGGAAATCAAGTCATGTTGTATCCATTCGACCACATCTCGCAAACAATCCGTGGGCGATGATTCACATACTTTTGTCGTTAGTCAGTGTGATGGAGAGAAAGTGGCCAACCCTACTGTGTCAACGTCACAATATACAACATCGCGGGGACGGATTGTTGATGCGTTTTGTTGGAGTGGTAAAAAAATGTTACTTATTCCCCAATGACGGTGTTTTAGTAGCCGAACACGATGCTGCTCGGTTGCAGCCTGTCACAGATACAGGCACCAGCTGATGCGGAAAGTGAAATATGGCGAAGGATTCGGTAAAAAGCATTCTCTCGCCTCCACTATATCACTCTCAAAGTATCGCGAATTCTTTCCTCAAAGTTTGTTTTCTTTAATGCTTGAATTGAGTATGTGGGGCTAACGGCGTATCTTAACAACGACGCTCGCATACCAGTTATGACGAGAAAACCAAGGAAATAATTCCAGAATGCAATGCCTGCGTGTAAAAAAACACGAAAAGGAAAAGTGTTTTTAGGAAGCTTGAAAGGATAATATAATAGTTTGTTTTTAGTGGCTAATATCTATAAAAAAATCAATAAAATCCCGCTGTTTTACGACATGAAAAAAATCCTAGGAGTAAATTAATTATTAATTAGGAAAAAACATAATTATGAACGGGTTGGTTCAGGAAGGAAGGAAATTATGATTGAACAAGATCGATACATTTCAGGTGATTTGCCACAAAGGATAATCACAGGGAAGAGAAAGTGTAATCAAAATATCGCATAACCAACTGTTAGGCGATTATCTCTCGCAGGCCACGCAACGTGAACACGTGCTTTTCGCAAATTTAACAAAATATAACACTAACAGTGTGCTATCTATTCAAAACGAATTCCAATTTTCGAATTTCTATTGAATTTCTTAAACGAAGTATGATATTTTTTCTCACTTTGCGTTTGACGGAAAGTTAATGGTAGACCCCCTAAGTGGGTTATTCCAGCTTGATACGTGGTTCCCTTGGCTAATCGGCGAGTTTACAAATAAAGGGGTAGCTGTGGACAAAGCCAATGTTTAGTGTTACTATGTTTCCTTGTACACCACAAATGAAGGTTGTGGTCGAATGGAGATTACAGACAATAAAAACAGCATGAAACGATGTCGATTTAGTAAATATGCTAACAAATAATTATTGTTATTATCGTTACACACATCATCATGATAACGCTACTGTAGCTGATTGCTGCTGATTCCAGTATGAGAAGCATTAGCGGGTTTTTTAAATTATTAAAAAAATATTTTTCTTTCAGTTTCATACAACTGTTCATTGATGATAGCCAGGTATAAATCTCACATGTAGTGAAAAGATAAATTATGCAAATCCCATAATTTATTAATTTCGTACAAATGCCTATAAATTTGATTTCGTTATACATCAACTGAGACTGTCGTCATACCGATCAGGTCACTGGTTTAATTCAATGTGCAGCATTAAAGAAAATGTGTCTTTGATATACGTGTTTGAATAAATCAAGGCCCCTACCAGCGGAGCACTGCGAGACAGTTGAAACAACCCATACATAATAAATAAGAAGCGTGTCACAACAACTTAACGTAAACTCTCCCTCAACGAGACAAATCAAAGCCAATCTTGAAATATCGTTTTGTCCGTATTGTCCGAGAGTTTCACCCGTGTCGACCGAGTCTCATCCTTTGAGAGGACCAAATTGGATATCAGTTAGTTTTAATGAGATCCATGAAGTTTTAATGAAGTAGGCCAATAGCATTGTTGATGAGAAAAAATATAAACGAAAACATCGATCGCTCGCTGAAAACAAGCATAAACAGTAGCGTTATATACATTTAAACATCAGTCAATCGGAAATTCTCGGTTCACTACGGGTTTTGTTTTTTTTTCGTCTGCGACATTCAAGTTAATAATTTGTTAGTTTCAGAGAAGTCTGACTTCAAAGTGTTTGTTATAAACTACTTCGTGAACATAACAGTTATGTTCATTAACCGTGTGGTGATTCTACCCCTGGGACTGAAATGGTCATTAAAACTGTAGGTTTTAGTTCACAGTACTTGTCAAATACGATTTTGTGTCTTCAGAATTGTCAGCTTTGCACCGAACGCAATAATATCCGTGAAAAACATGGCGTTCAATTTTCGTTCTCAGTAAGCGCAACATTAAATCATAATTCGTTTTTATATCAATTTAGAAAATCGTGATCACTTTTGCAACAACACAGAAGCGCAAATGGGGTAATACTGCATATTATGCGTTCATCACAAGGAAAATAAAACGAAACGAAATTACAGGAATGACGTTAGCGATTGCGGCATCAAACAACAGTATCAAAAGCTTCAGAAGGAAGAGAAACGAACGGAAATTGACTGATAAACCCCCAGTAAAATAGCTGACTTGTTCGCTATATATTGTCTAGTCGCTTGGTGAGGCCCAGCGCTATGGATGAAATGCTTGTTACGAGCTAACGCGATTACCAAGCCCCCAAGGTGTTCAATTTGGGACGAATTGAGAGCAGTATCGTGCCCAAATCCAGTTATCGGTGTCCACGATTTGACAAATTAGTCACAAATTATTGTCTCAGTGTCCCCAAACCACAGTTTACCATCGTCGCTTAAGTAATTGTGTGAGAATGACAATGAGGAAACACGTGGACAAGGCAATCGGCTCTGGCCTCGCCTCTCCGGACTTGCTAGTTGTCACTAAAACACGGAATATCTTTTTAAATCTGTTCAATTATTTATGCTTAAGCACCATTGTGGGATGAAACAATGGTTTGTTAATGGGAAATTAGTTAGCATGAAATAAACGCAGCGAATTTGTGTATCCAGCTTTATCCAACAGTTCGCACAGCGATTTCGGTTTTATCCTTGTCCGTGACTGATGGACACCCAGCTCAGCTTAAACGAGGCGAATGGGGTGTTAATCTTTAAAAAAGCGAAAAGGGTGTTAATCTTAAAAAAGCGAATGGTCTGTTGATCGTAATGCATGTAAATTCACCATCTACGTTATAAACCATTGCCAGAAGTGTCGCTCACATAACCTACTGTTATACACTGGAGTAAACAGGCAATGTTTAGTAAATATAGTTATACATATATACCGTGGATCTGTCCAAGTAATGATAAATAGCGTAATAACCAAGATACATGTTCGTACTATCGAATACTATGAGACGACTTATGTTAGACTCATGTCCTTAAGTGTTACAAAGGTATATCAAGTTGTATGAGGATTATGTATTAACATACAAGCATTGGTGGTCGTATCTTCACGTTATATCACACTGACATACAAGCATTGGTGGTCGTATCTTCACGTTATATCACACTGACATACAAGCATTAGTGGTCGTATCTTCACGTTATATCACACTGACATACAAGCATTAGTGGTCGTATCTTCACGTCATATCACACTGACATACAAGCATTAGTGGTCGTATCTTCACGTCATATCACACTGACATACAAACATTAGTGGTCGTATCTTCACGTCATATCACACTGACATACAAGCATTAGTGGTCGTATCTTCACGTTATATCACACTGACGACTGGAATGTATTTAGGATCGATGAGTTGCACTATGCAGAACATGCAAGTTTGTTTATAAATCTGTGACAGGGATGGCGACAGATGGAGTTTGACAAGATGGTAGCTGCTGCCCCGGGGTGCTGCACAGATTTGGTTAGCCTGATGACGGTTGAAGCGAGGACCCCACAGGGCTTCTGCCTACGGCTGGAACCAAGGGGCCGATGTGTTATTGAATGAAGACCGAGTCCCCTATGAATGATTGTCTTTAAGTGATGCTGTAAATTGAATAACGTACAAACCGACCAGCCAAATGTCATAAGATTGGAAGAATAATTGGATAGAGACGAGGGAAGGGTCGAGATTTGGGCAGACGACATTTTGAAAAAGGCGGGAAAGTAAGATACAGTTTGTTTGCCTAGTTTTTTTTAGTCCAGAGCAGTAGCCTTTGAAATGAGGCAACACGGGCGTTATTTTGATCTTCTTTTCGTCCTTTGACAAAGGTTTAACATGACGACGAAACAAAGAAGTGGATGAGTCAGAAAGTCGACAGGGAGAGTCCGCCATTCAAATCGGGAGATCCCGGTCCGACAGACGGGCCGCTTCTCCAGGAGTAGTCAATATTTCCCCTGTAGCACGCCATTGCTGTCGTCCGAGGCTCAAAGAAAAATATTCCCGTTCCGTCTTAAGGGACAGAATTTGAATAAAACCCTCACCGGAACTGGAAAACAAACACAGGACCGCAGACGCAT